CATTTCTCTGAAACGCATTATTAGGTATAAGAAAGGAGATACTTGTCTATGGAACTTAATTCTGAAGGAAAAGATTTGTTTACTTTGTAAATGAAACTTTGAAACCATAGAATAAAGAAGCAAATACTGTCTTGTCTGACTGAGATGATCGAAACACATAGCATTGTTATTGTATATATGTTTCGATCGTCTGTTAGCTCAGATAGTTATGTGTTTGCTTCTTACTTCTAAGTACCCACGTTCGAATCACACCGAGGTTATGTAAGTACAGTTGTTTTCTTTCTGCAAGGCGGAGAGTATTGGATCATTTTTACACCGTCGGGACTGTTGTACAGCTGAAAGTTCAACACGCTTCATTTTTAGCTCAAAAAGACCCGTTACAGTTGAAACTGTTGCTGCATATAAGACCGTAACTCTATCCAAGAAAGTATTGTAGACTGCACAAATCATGATAATATCTTAGTGCAATTATTTGTTAACTCACCAATCGTTGTGCCCATGTTATGTGTCTTTGTGTCATTCAGTACGGCGCTGATCGAACGATTGTAACATGCTAAATATTTTTAAAATATTTAATAAAAGACATCACAAGAATAAAGGCTGAAGTTATCAAGACTATAGAAAGTGCCATAAGTCACGTATTGCGATCTTATCAGTTGAAATTCTGTTGTGTGGCACTACAATTGGTGATACAATAACCGATTAATACGCCCGCATACAACTAATCCGTAGTGAAGCAAAGATAGATTATGAGATATACACTGGCCACGGACTAGCGGATGGAATCGTCTCTTATCTCTGAAAAGGTGATTCTATCTTCAATGTTAGAACCAACCTGCTGTGCCCGATAGACTGACTGGGAAAAAGTTCGGTCGTCGGTCACCGAAAAGTGAGGAATTGGCTGATACTCTCACAAATGATCAAAATCCGAACAAAACTGTCTGTCTGAAAGCGAACAAGTTTACTTGCTTACTTCCCAAATTCTATCTACGCAAACATATCCTCAGTAACGTAGTATAGTAAAGCTATTATAAAGACTTTAGAAATCTTGCACTTCATTTCAATATAAGGACACACGTGATTTTGTTCATTTTTCATTTCGAACAGCGTATAATAGAAAATGGCGTATCGAATAGTGAAAACAGGCACTGTGAAAGCGCTTCCTTTGTTCTTTCGTAATCAGCACATCCATCTCTACCAGGATGTATCCCATTTAAAATCTTGCATGAGGCAATATATCTTACAATAAAGCTTAAAATAAGGAAAATGTGTACGAAGTAATACCTAACTTCATTGTGACCAAGATTATTATTGATATCAATCCTGCTTCAATGGTAATGAAACTCAAAGTATACCAAAGTTTCCTTCTTCTTTTGCATATGTCTGTTGTTTGAGCGTTTTTTTTGATCGTTGTTTCTACTGAGGTAATGCCATTCGATAAAGGCAAATTGAACGGTTTGCCAGGAGTATTGTTCGTTACTTGATTCCAAAATTCATCAATTGGTTTTATTATCTGTTCATTCGGCGTTATTCTGGTGTTGATTTTGCACACTACACCATTTGCTAGGCCAACATATAAGAAAGTAGAAGTAAAATAGGGATCATCCGTTCAGCAATCGAAGTTCGTTTTTCTAACTACAGTTTTATTCAAAAACAACCTTAAGTCAGCTCTACATCCAATAAAAATAGGCCTAGATCCTTTCTGGTGAATGGCGAAGCCATGCATCACTATAAGAAGAAATGAAAAAGTTATCCAAAAACGACTTGTCCGATTTTAGGCGAAAACGGCTAAATTTTAATAAAATTCAAATATCTCAAGAGCGAAAAAAGTTTTAAAAAAAAGCGACTTCATACTTTTTTCGACGTTTCAAGGCGAATCGCATGACATATCAAACTTGATTTTATGTGTTAACCAAAAAGCTGCTATAGGTTTGCAAGGTTGAAGGTCTCGAAACCGAAGATATATCGGTCCCGTTTCTCGCCCAACAAATATTTTTTGGTGTTGAACCTTGAAATACAGTTTTCTACATGCAGTTTTCAGCGCTGAATAACAAAGACATAGTTTTACGGCTTTGAAATGAGGTAGAACCAAGTTATTCAGTTTTTAAAAAACGTTAGTGATTTTTCGAAAAAAGAGATCCTTCAAATTTTTTGAAGTTTTTTCACTGATAATGTGAACCGGGAAGGTTAAAAGCAGATATTCTTAATCAGCGTAAAATCCTCTATCGAGTAATGCACCATTAAGCCAAAAATAAAATAGTGCTATAATTTTTAATTTGGAGCACCTTACTTTGACAAAAATCATTTGCCAACCATTGATATATGCAAATTTCGGCATATCTTTTTCTTATCCCAATTTTTTCTCGAAAAACATTTCCCACGAGACGAGTTGACTCATCTACAGGGCATGTATCAGCTCATTGTACTCCCATATTTTTCTCAAACAGTAGATCATTCGAAATGATTCTGCATAGGATAAGTCGACTCATCGTAATAGACATATCAATGCATCCCACTAGCATTGCCCCGTGAAAAGAATATAATGATTTTTATCTTTATGTTTAGGAGCATGGAATAGCAAAGTTTATGGATTATAGAATGAAATTTCAAATGCTGAACCTACATCTAATCCTGGTGAAAGTATGAACGCAATCTTAAAAAGATGGATAAATTGGAATGAGGTAGGTTAATTTTGTCTTATAGTATTTTGTAATTAACAATTCTGTTTTTTTTCATTTTTAGCTCTCGGTCGATCGTTTTATTACAATGTCGTTTCCGCTAATGGGCTTTTACGTAAATGAAATCCGTCCTGGATACTGTGATCAAGGTAAGCATCTGAAAAGGTTTAGACTTGACATTTTACTGTTTTATTATTACATTTCGTTTATTCTGGGAGAGTATCATTTAACAGTTGATCAGAAATGTAACGAGATAGATGTTTTGTCGTTATCCTTGTTAAAATTATACGAGCGACAAAAAAGTTTAGATAAAATGAATCAAGAACATATCACCGTGAAGTAAAAAATAAAGTTCATTTAGAGTCGTGGAAAAGTGCTTTTTTATATTCAGCATACTCGATAACTCAGTAGATTTTCTATTCTATTTCTATTTCTTAAGAAAAATTTTGAAACTAATATTAATTTTTCATGGAAATTTTTTTGCACCATTTTGATCGAAACATTTTCCTAAACTTTTGACGGTATCCCTCGCCAAAAATAGAAACCGACTGGGCTATCGAATATGCTGAATATAAAAAAGCACTTTTTCAGGACTCTATATGAAGTCTATTGTTCTGTCGGTGATATGGTTGAAATGCAATAGCTACAACACTCATCTTCCATCCATATTTACTGTAAGTGTTCAAATATCATATTCTGTCCTAGCGGTGAACAATGCTCATTCTCTTTTTCTGAACATCTGATTTTTGTATGTTTAGTCATCATCAAATGGTAGCAATGACAATGGTATAAATAACATAATAATTGATTCTCCGAGTTGTTTTCGAAACAAAAACATTTTATTGAAAATATTCTCCCTGGAATGTGGATGAGTGTGAAACTGTCTTTACAATGCTTCAACCTCCATACTTTGTGTGAGTAATCTACAGACGTTGCAGGATATTTTACGCGAATTTGAAGGAAGAATAATATTCCTAGGCTGAGTTATGGTTTTTTTCGGAAAGAAGAATATATTTCAAAAGTGGCCACCAATCTTAAACTAGCTGTCTTTCAGTAACCATGAAGTGCTAACACTTTAAATTCATATCATAGGTAGAAGATAATCATGGCTACATTTTTGTAAAAAAAGTTCTCATTTCGGAAAAGAAAGGAAACGCTTATATCTTTCGAACCAATCAATTAAAGGCGCTTAAACTTGTTGTCTGACCAGCATTCAGTGAGAGCTATGATCCCACAAAATTAGAAGTCATCAGCTATCATGATTCTTGAGCTACATGGGTAAGCTTACTTTTGTGCATGCTGTACGGATACTTTCGGGCGCATGTGTACCTATAGGTTTTCAAAAATACCTCAAGAGATTCATAGAACAGCAAAAAGTGTTTTAAACCTTCTACAAAAATCCTTTCGGTTTAGTAACAGAAATGAAAAACCTTTTCCTGCCTTCCTTTCTTCTTTACAGTTTTTCAAAATACGCGTGCTTTAGGGGCAGACAATTCGATGTGGGAAATAAAACTGTCGTCCAAGTTTTGTGGAAAAATTATTTCGGTCATCCTTAGATGTTTTCGACTTAGGTCTTCAAATGGCGGATCCAAAGCAAGATTTTGTGAAAAACTAAGTTTCCATTCTGACGCTTCCAGAGATCAATCGTACTCCATATGAAGAAAAGATTGAGGAGCCCTAAATCAGAAAGCACCTAAGCGTATGGTTGTGTAACGGTTTGGTTTTTGTTGTCAGTTTTATACAGATTACTTCTCACCTGATTTTGTTTGGGACAAATCAATACAGCGATTTAGCAAGTTCACGTTTTCCTGATAAACTTTACTGGTTTCCTTTTTATGAATTATAAATGCATTGTGTGTGATTCTCGCTCTACAGAGGATAGAATTAATCACATTTAGAATCATAAAACAAAATCAGTACCACACTTTTACAATAAAGAAATAAATCGTTGGGTAGTCCTATACGCTTGGCAAACTGCATAAGTATAGAAGAGTATGACAGTATGAAATCAAAAGTTTCGATGCTAAGCGGCCACCACCATCGTCAGCACTCTAAATCCACCAATACATATGGTGTATTTTGAGAACACGATGTGGCAAAACTGTTTGAGCTTACAGGCGTGTAGAGCAAACCGTTCTCTACAACATGACATGTAGGTGACATGTGCATGACGTATCGTTCCAGTTTTATTCTCGTTCTGTGGAGAACCCCGACCGAGCCGAGATATGGCTAGTTCGGAGCTCTTCATAAAATGGCCATAGAACGAGAACAACAAATCGTATGAAGGTCGAACAGGTCTCATGTTGTCCAAAAATGTTTGCTCTACATGCCTACAGGCGTAAAAAGTTTCCATTTCTCATTTGCTTTTTCTACATCAAAGTCTGTAAAAGTGATGATAATACTAATGCTATTTCTCTTACTTGAATTTGTGCATAATTTATCTGTTGTATTATCTTTACATAACTCTTCCATAATGGACGATGTTGATGGTATTAATGTTTGTGATTGTTGTAGCAATTGTTGATGTTCTGTTGTAAAAAAGATAAACTAAAGTTTAATAACAACAAGTTTAAGTTCTTATATGTATGTGTTTACCTCTCAATCGTTGTTCAGCATCATAACATTCAATTTCTTTAAAAGCAGTAATTAAATAATTAAAATCTTGTCCGGATATCATAGCACGGTCGAACAAAGATTCTAATAAGTCTAATGTACCTCCAATTGTTGGATCATCACGTAAACGACGTGGAATAATATCAGTTAATAAAAAATGTAGTCGCCGACGATCGTAATCGGATAAGTGATCATTTACTTTTACTAATAGTGCACGAAGGGCCTTATTTTGTTCCATATGGTATTCGTATTAGCTAGCGGTACGCTATACTAAGAGCCAGAGAATCTTAAAAAGAAGATGAGAAGGCAACTTTTATATTATGAACCGGTGTATTGAGAAAATATTTTATTGCCTTAGCTTAGAAGAAACTCCTTCAAAACAGCAATGAATAATACAATCTGACAGGTTACTTTTCGGTTAACAGTAGATTGGAATTGTTCTTTATAGAGCCCTTTAGAAGTGCATTGATTCTCAAAACTGTCATCCATATCACAGACCGAAACGGGTCGGGTTCGGGTTAAAGTAAAAAATATTGATTCGGATCGGGTCAAAGCAAAAACAATTTCGGGTTTTATTCGGGTCTTGCCACTAGAACACAAATCAGGACAATTTCGTCGGTTACAATTCACTCCTCCATTTTCAAACATATGTCTTTTTTATCAAAAAGAGAAGTACAGTGTTTCTTCCTTTCTGCTATGACGCTGTGTAATGTACAATCTCGTACTGTTAAAGCAAAGGAAGAAAAGAAAGATATATAGAAAAACGTGTTTAGTAATTCTCGCTCGTACACAGCATTGTTTTTTTATATATCTGTAACTGAATTATCCTTTATTGATAGACAGTTAGTCGAAGACACTGCTTTTTTTGTTAAAAATGGCTTCTAATGAATTTAACTATACTTCATCCAAAATAAGTACGTAGCTCTTCTATTAAGTAATTACTAGGGAATTAGAAGCGCAATCGGTTCTCTCGTTTAATCTCCACGTTAATTAAAGCGTGAGTGATTTTTGTATGTTGCTGTTTTAGCTACGCTCTTGAAATTACAATCTACACAATATGTTGTTGTTAATAATTCAAGTGGTGTTCGTAGTAACTGTTGGAATTATGATGATTAAAATTCATGACAATACACGATCGAGACAAACGGTTTTCTGTTTCGTGTTATTGTTAGGTCAACTAAGAAAAAGTTTCGGGTCATTCGGGTCCAGTTTTGGAAATGTCGAGTCCAAAACCTTTTAACTTTCTGATTTTCTCGCTCCTTCGTATCTCTATGCTATGACTATTCCATATGAAAATTTGGACTTTTTGAGATTCTGAGAATTTATGTTTTATGCTATGATCAGAAGGTCACAAAACTTTCATATAGGATAGAAAAACCAGGAACGAACTACAAACTAGGTAAGGAAGGAGTGAGAAGAGCAAAAAGTCAGAATTTTTTTATAGTAGACGAACAGAAAGGCAGAAGATCAGAGAGCTAGAAGAACAGATAGCTTAGTTTAGATGAAACAGCATTGCAAGCATCGAAGGGGAGAGGTGTTTTAGACTTTCAGTGCATTTTTTATTAAGAAACAACGCACATTACTTACTGCTAAGCGTGTACAAATAACAGTGGTTATGGCATGGTGTGTTTCAATATAGAGGGTACTTTTATAGTCACTGACCAAGAAAACTTCATTAACTCTAGCATTTCTTAACTGAACTTCAAGATTGTTGTTTTTTGCTTGACAGAGAAGAGTTTCAAGTTTTGTTCGATACAGTCAATGGCGCAACCACGAGTGAGACGCATTAGGCCATGGCCAAGTGAAATTTTAGAATGGCCCAATTCAATTCCAAACATTTGTGATTTCCTAGCTAAGTTTTATACTTGTATGGGAGAAAAAAACAAGATAGTACACAACAACCCAAAATGATCTGTCATTAAACCATCATCAAGTGAGTGCTGGCCAGATGAATACTCTTGATCTGTACATTCATGCGGATATTTGGCGAAAAGTGAACATGAGATCTTAGTAGAAAGCAAAGATAAATATCTTAGCTACTTACTACTGAAATAGTTATTATAAGCTTTACTTATTGAAATAGCTACTCTTATAAGATTAGAATTATCCCAAAGGTATTTGTATTATAGTCCGCAATAATAATTTTTCGTTTCTTTTCGTCCTCTGATGATATCATACACAGACTAAGATGTATTTGGAAAAATACATATTCTGGGGAAAAAAATCACATGGATACACAAAAACAGAAGAGAAAAATATCCAACAGAACAAAAAAAAAATCACAGCTCGTTAATAGAGTCATACGGGGTACTTCCAGCCACTTGCACAAAGTTGTTTAATATTTTGCGTATTTCTAAGGCGTTTTTAGTCGGATAAGCGTGCTATTGGATATGAGGATAGAACTAATAGTTCTCTATCCGCTGATGTGAAAATCTCCTAAAAATCCGTCGCAGTTTTCGACCAGTGTTCAGAAGGAGACAGGGACCTCCAAACCGGCTGGAATTACCCCACATGGGATAATTCCGGCCGATCCATTCGAATACATTGAGTTTTCTGAAACAAACCTCTGCTGATTTTCAGAAGTGGATTTCGGACATACTCTTCAGGTAAAGGTAAGTATAGCTACGGTAAGTATGGCTTCGCGCAAAATACGATATCTCTGCCGTACATATAATACAATAATCAATAACAATTAAAGCTATCAAATCAGTTTTGGAATGAGTTTCTGTAAGTATTTTGATATTTGTTACATAAACATCTAATTCTAGTTTCAACATTATCTTCCTTAATTTTAATTGAATTTCATGTCTCATTTTTTTTATTCAACTCAATAGAGTACAGCCCATGATATATATGGAAATTTTTTTATGAATTGCTCATGATTAATGAGAATATTTAATAATATTGTGTAAATTCATTACCACAATATGTATAAAATTATATAAGAATATTTAAGATCATAGAGCCTGCAGATTTTGAGCTATTAAGATGCAATTTTCACATATGTTGTTTTACAGAATGAATACCCTTACCTGAAGAGTATGTTCGAAATCCACTTCTGAAAATTAGCAGAGGTTTGTTTCAGAAAACTCTATGTATTCGAATGGACCGGTCGGAATTATCCCACGCAAAATAACTTAGCGGCTGAAATTATCCCATGTGGGGTAATTCCGGCCGGTTTGGAGGTCCCTGTCTCCTTCTGAACACTGATCGAAAGCTGAGACGGATTTTTAGGAGATTTTTACATCAGCGGATAGAGAACTATTAGTTCTATCCTCATATTCAATAGCACGTTTATCCGACTAAAAACGCCTTAGAAATACGCAAAATATTAAACAACTTTGTGCAAGTGGCTGGAAGTACCCCATATGACTCTATATCATGTATAATTCTGTTCTCTTGTAATTCAACATATTAATCAGTCCGTACCATAAGCAATTAACTTCTCTCGTTGCCATCTCTGTCATACCTTGCTGACGATGCTTTCAAAGATGCACTGACATTAATATTTAGTCTAATATATCATACGGTCAAAGACAATACACTTCAAAAAAAAAATGTTCCCGTACGTCATGTAAATATTTTCTAGTCGAAAACGCGTCGGAAAACACGTTTTTTCTGCGTTTAATCATTGCAAATATGCACCATTTGACGCTATCTAGACGCTTCTTATGTGGACACGTTTGAATGCGTTCTTCTTCAAAATTTTTAAAATGAATTCTTCTTTCCAAAAAAGTTTTTTTCTTCAACTAAAACACCTATAGTGAGATTCAGGGTCTTACAGCTACTAGAGACGAAGAGAAGAAGAGAAGAGTTTAACTGACATGAAAGAAAGACCAGTATAGAAGACGTACTTACGGTGATTCGAACATGCGACTAACAGAAAAAGAAATTACGAAGCAAAGTACTTACCGCTCAGCTAACTGAGATTGATACTTGCCCTATATTTTGTCAGTCTATAGGTTTCGAAGTGAGAAAGCGTAAAAATAATAAGTCTCTCTATGTTCGCAGACGTGTAAATCCCGTGTGTTTCTGGCATATCACACCGTGCAGTTCTAGATGCGCAAATGCGAATCAAAGTGGTGTGCAAGTTCAGTGTGTTTTTGGCACACTCTGTTTTTACAGTGTAAACGGGTAATTTTTGATTACTACTGCTGTAGATGTGAAGGTTATTAAGAAAGCTTTGGGAAAATGACCGACCTTTATGATAAAAGACGGAATTTTATTTTTGTTCTTTTCTACTTCATTTGAAAACCCCATCCATAAAACCTGCAAATCTAACACACTCCACTTTGAAAGTGCTTCCTTCAAAAACCAACCGTTTTCAGCTCTTGGAAATTAATGATTTTCACCAAAAATTACTAATTTTTATTTTGCTTCGAAACTACTCAACCGTTAATACCGATTCTTATGCCATTCGACGGAGGAATGTTTGTCCTGCAAAATGCATACATTTCCATTTTGATATACATTCTCTCTGAGGAATGAAAAGCGAAATACGAAACGCTCGATTTTTGGAGAAATGTATTTGCACTGTAAAACCCACAGATATGTGACTACCAAAGACGTTTACCATTTATTTGTAGCCCATATCATCCTCTATCAAGTGATATATAGAAGTGTATTTAAAATCACGGGCGCCACTCCGACGTAAAGCTGACAACGTAGTGGCGCCACATACTATAACTCACTTAATTTAAAGTGTTTGCGTTTCGCTTAACTTTTTTTAACAATAAAAATATAATATTCACAGTCTACAGAAAAGCTCTATGAAATCAAATAGTTTTTGCTATTGTAGACTTATGGTAGGGCTTCATGGTGGCTTTAACCTGAAATCTAGGATGCTGCAAGATTCTTACCCATATCTACCGTACAGGAACTTTTACCTGCATCCCTCGGATATGTCTCAGAGGACTTTTTATTGTGCTGATACTGATTTTTTTCCCCTCTCGGTTATCGCTTATATCAGATAATGGACAACGCTGACCTCGATTCTCTCGGACTTAGTTCTGATTCTCGGTAGAAGTGTAACGAAAAACAACTTCTTCAGTGTCTGTTTCAAACGCCATACGAGTATTCTGAAACAGGATGGCTAAAATTGTGATGAAAAGCTTCTACACATTTTGGAAAATCACCTAATCACACATGGATGTTTAGAAAAGAAAGACAGACTTTGGCGAAGTCAAAAAAGATGTACTCCTCTGTCAATATCTACGCGGAAAATTAACACAAAAATGT